AAGAAAACTGTAAGAATTTATGTGTGTCCCCGACCATCCCCCCATATATGGTACATTAAGGTACCTTACGTTTTGACCCAGCCCAACATATGTCTCTCTGAAAATTCAGTACCCCCAAAGTGTGATGGTTTATCGCAATTTTCCCCATGAAAATTGCAAGTTGGGGGGTATCCCCCATTTTCAGACACATCCAAATACAGCATATTGTTGGCAATAATCGAGTGTATCATATTATATCCTCACTTTGGTTGCCGAAAGCTCCATCATTAAGAATCACTCATTACATCACCACCGACCACCAAAAATGATGAGATTCCCACTCAAACAAAAAATCATCCTGAAAAATGTGGCCCACATTGGGGGATGATCCCCAAAATCCTAACCACAATTTACATGAGGACCACCACGTTGGTCCCCGCGCGGAGGCTCCTGAACTTTCAACGTTCGGTCACCAATACGGCGGCCGTGAAGGTAATGTATCGCATATCTGGCGGTTCACGAGAAAATGGGTCATGTCAATGAATACTTGCGATAGCTGGTTAATGAGAAAACAACAAAATTAACACAATTCACATTCGTTTTCATTAATAGTTGACTATGGTTAAGATGGCTACCCTCCGGCAATCAAACATGGTTAGCTGGGAAATCCCTTAACAATAGAAGTTTATTAGCTGGGAAAATCATCTATAAATAGGGGATTTTCCAGCAAACCATGTTTAATTGCCGGAGGCCGCCGGGCCCAAAATCTGATGTTTTTCACATGTTGCAACACTGCGAAAACCGGCGGCTTTGAGGTCTGAAATTGTGATCCCATCACCACATTAAGTGGCACACCGAATGCCTGTGGAAGTATTCCCGCGCTATGAAGGAGAACATGTGCGACGCATACAACCGTTCAAGGGCGGGGCACACCCGACTCAACAAAATGGGCAATTCTTGGCACAGCCACGTTAATTGAAAATCGCGTTAGCAACTCTGATCATGGAAAACCATGGAAAACCTAGCGGAAAAACAACAATGAAAACAAAAACTGAACCCACGAAGGCCACTCAGAAATCTGCAAAGAAACTAGCAACCACAAGCAATGCGTAATTATGGAAGTATCTAACCCCGGTATCACTCCTCTGTCAAAGGAAACGTTGTCATTAATCAACCACCATTGTCCAAGCGTGGCATTTGGGGCCCCTATGTGGGCAGAGCATATCATTGCGCCTGGCTTCCTCGGCTGTAGAATATTCGACCAAACCTTGGCCGCGTGATCGCCCATCCTCGGCCGGCTTGATGCAAGAAACCAGGACGGCGCAAATTCGCAAATTCATCCGAAAACCAGGAGAATGCCTCAAACCACAACTGTTGATCAAAGAAATGATGAACAATGATAGCAATGGACTCTCGGGGTGCCGTGTTTTCAAACAACCCCAAACGCCCCCCTAAAACGAAGCCCGCAGCGCAGCTTTCGTGGGGCGTCCCGCTTTGGCTCTTCGGTGGCCGCTCTCATCTTAGATTTTTTAAACAGGCTTCCCCAAAAAATACGCACATTACGGACTCATGAGTTGACCATGCTGAATCATTTTCGGCAAAACCATGTAAATCAATGTCATGGACAGGTTCACTTTCCTTCGCGGTCTCTGGGTTGGCATCAACCGCTCAGGTCCGAAGGCGTTTCCGTCCAGGGAAGAAGACACGTAGCAGTTCGTCTCGCCCTCGATATCCCTCGATGATCATGTTCCATATTAAAATGAAAATGGCCATCAAATAGGGTATATTTCTACTTGCCGAATAACCCCGTATGGGCCTTTTTGTGTGTGTGTGAGTCTGTCGGGAAATAGGGTACGCCAAAATTCTAAGATTAAATCAACATACTGGTTTTTATTCACATGAACGAATTGGTATTTTGGTTTCTTTTTAATCACAAGCACTTGCAATTCCATCATAGCCCGCCCCCCGGGTAGATTCTCTACATTCTAGGAGCGCTGTGTCTCCCGGATCTATTGTCAAAACTGGGACCCAACGAAGCCATAATATGCGGGTCACTTTTTTTTTAACATCATAAACTCTGAAACCATCCATTCTTGGGGGTAGATACTTTTGATCCATTGCCAAATGTCTTTTTTGGATTTTTGGCAATGTAAGGTCGGCAACTCCATGATGGTCTTAAATTTCCTTGGGAGGTGTTCGGCTGCCTGAATCCAAAGGAAGTTTGTAGAAGCTTCCTAGAAGTCCAGCTATGTCCAAGTTTTTTTGGCCAGGATGTTTTCAGTGGCGTTCCCCGGGTAGAGACACCAAAATTCGCTCTGAGTCCAGGTGAATTTTCAGACGTTTTCCTTCTCTTTAGGGACAGTGGCTAGAAAAAGTGAAACCATTTCTTTACGCACACAACTCACTCTGACAAGTGTATTAGTGCCAAAATCAGTACAGTAATGTACAGCATTATATATATATGTAAACATACCTGTATATATATTATATATATATGTGCATATGGACATCATTGTACATCCATATGTGTCATGGTCAAGTTACATAGAAAAAAGTGGGCCCCTGGTCATCCATGAATCCATTCCATGCCATGGAAATCCAAATACAAAACTGGTTGGTGGTATACCTACCCCTCTGAAAAATATTAGTCAATGGGAAGGATTATCCCATATATTATGGAAAATAAAAAATGTTTGAAACCCCCAACCAGGGTATAAACTTTTGACCATGGCACATACGAAGTTTGCACCAGAAATCATCAGTCTGGATCAAGAAAAGGGGCGAGATGGATCTCGGGATGCGCTTTTTTATGCATGATGTTCTGAGGGATCTACTGTATGGATTATTATAGATTCCATTTGCTGAGGTCTGGAGAAAAGACATTCCCAGTGTAGGTAAAACAATAAACCATCCCTAAATCCTCAGTCATCACCATTTTTATAGGTTGTGTGTTTACCATGTCCAGTCATGGGTGATTTATGGCATTGTTTTACCAACATTAGATTCGAAAAAAAGGTGATGTCTGCAACACTTCCAGGCAAGCAAAGACCTTCTGAAGTCAGGAGGACATGTCACCTCTAAGTCGTGTCACACTCACACCTGTTGCAGATTTGAAAATGGCAATATATGGCTAAGAGTTAATTAATACCCTGCAAATCCCGTGGTGAACACCAAAACAGTTGGTAGATGGGGTTCATCCCCGCAAAATTTGGAAAAAAGATGGGTTTGATCCATACCATTCCATACCCACCTGAACCAGGACAAGTGAAATAAAGCATGACATTGCAAACCGGCGCAATGTCTTTCCCCGGCTTCCCCATTTCCTGGTTGCAAAGAATTCCGTTTGAGGTCGTGGCAACGTGGAAGAAACAAATTCGTGGGCTAGTCTCAGAGAATTCTATGGAGGTTTAAATAGGTTTACAGTAAATTGTTGGTATAACCCTGGGAAAAAATATGTGTCTGCTTCAAATCCCCATAGAAATATTTTATATGTGACATCTGCACATTGCTTTAGACTAAAAATCACCCATAAAATCCCAAGATTTCACACCGCTTAATACATATGCTACGATATAAACCAGCGAACCGTTGAACCGTTGAACCACCCAAACAAAAAAAAAACGTCCACAAAAAAAGGTGGGTTTCACCACTGAAACAAAGGGAACCCCCAAAAAAAAGCCCTCTGAGGCCACCTACGGGCAGTCGGAACAACCAAAATCTCGTGGTGGTGCCATATTCCTGACGATGCGATGCAGTGGTGCGGCAGTTGGGTGGGAAAAAACCACCAAATGAGCCATTAAAAATAGCCTGTCGTCCCATTAAAAATGAAATACGATAGCTGGTTTTTGAAACGGAAACCGGAAGTTACCTATGGGTTAGTTCACAATCCGCAAAAACCTTGGCAGTATCAGTCCCTATGGTGCAAATAACTTGGCTAACTGGGATTATGGGAAATATATATATATATGTATCTATCCTTAACCAGGCTTCTAAACCGACATACATAACTTGGCTATGGCCATTTGGTAGCAGGATCATGGATTCATGGATTTTTTTGACAGGAAAACCGTGTTTGTTACCATTTAAAAAAAAAAAAAACATGAAAACAACACATTCATTGGTTTTCAAAGGTTTTCCTGTTAAAAAAACAAACATGATCCTGCTAGACAAAATTCCAAGGAGAAGTGATGAAGAGTCATGATTGCTTGAGGCTGGATATGGTCACATTCCCGGGTTCAGGCGGTCCAGGTTGCAACTAAGCCAGTCTCCCTAGTGACATAAAGATTCCCAGCAGAACGATAGCTTCGTATTGGGTATGTTCATTTGGGTTTGTCTGAAAGTAACGCACCTGATTCCATCCATTGTCATTATGTGTATATATATATATATGTGTGTGTATACATGTATATGTGTATATATATATATATACATATATATATATATATGTATATATATATATATACATATGCACATATATATATATATACACATATATACATATCTGTGTACACGTAATATTTCATGGACATGACCATGTTTTGCTGGATAAAATCACCCATGGAGGTACCCCTTCTTTTGATTTTGCTCCAATCTGATCCGGTTCGTGGGATGTTGGATTCTCCAATGTTCTACAAAGGACTTTCCAGCCCAACATTTTCGCCCACGGGATTGAGATCTCTGGTCAACCTTACGTTTCAAAACTATGTATATCATCTTACATAAATGCCCTGCCAAGAAAAATACATGAGATATGTGACATGTCTGTACTTAGATGTTTAGCCAGATAGTAAAAATACAGCACGTATGTATTTCTTCGTGTTTGGTTTGGTGGACACACTCTCCCAACACCGTGTTTAAGTGGCGATTTACAGGGACGTCCTGGACAAATCGTCATAGTTTACCAATAGAATCCCAATGATATCCCCATGATTTTTCCGGGTGAACTCGCCACAATTCTCCTGCAAAAAAAAACATGGCGTGGGATGCTGGAAAATCGACATACGTGTGGTGAAATCACGATTTTACCACCGGATGTTGACTCCTGAAACACGTTCCTCAACTTTTCTTGTGTCATCTCCTTGGCGGCAGTGACACTGGGTGACAGAAAAATCGAGATGTCTTGATCCCATATTGGTCCAAAAGTGGGCTAGATGTGCTACTTTGGGCAATTTAAATATGGAAAAATGATGGCAAAATTACGTGTCCATCATGGAAAACTTATGGAGATATATGGAGATAAATTCAATGGATTGGTTTAAGGGAACACATTTACAGGAAACCCCCCATAGTTCATGGGAAAATCTGCCACTTTCCGGTTAAGATTTTGCCAAAATGGCGATTCATGATTCGAACATGATTCTAATTCCTCGTTGGGAATTGTTGCGCACCTCATGTTCAGACAAACCCATATAATCCATATATTTTACGCAGCCAAAGAGCATAGATGCCGGCATTCATTGAGGTTTGTCGGAAAATCGGCAAAGGGATTATCATGATTTTCCACATGCCATATTGGGTTATGCCCCATTTTTAGGTCCGACTGGCCGTTTAGTGTTTTTTTTTTCATGGATTCATAGGGATTGAACATTCGCAACATTCGTAGTAATTCACATGTTGGATCCCTTGAGAATTCATAGGGATATATGTGGATTTCTGTGGAATACTTTGGATCTACCCTCAACATTCATGGGGATATATTCTATCCGGGATATATGGGGATTCTTAATCCCCCATTGATTATATCAAATATATCCCATGATCTTTACCCCATGGCTGGTTTGAAAAACTTCTACTAGGCCCTACTGGTATGCTACCCTCGGACGGCAAAGGTCGATTTCTGCTACGGGTCACCATCCAACTTTTGGGAGGAAACCTCAACATTTTTCAAAACCAGGTCATCAAGACCTGCGGAAGATATAGAAATCGCTGCTGAAATGGCTCTGAACAAATTCAGGCGATTTCGCCGAGTATCCCAAATCCAGACTCTCAAAATTTGAAAAGATTAAAAACACACGAATTAATTAATTTTTCCCATGCTTTGCTGGCCATAATTTCTGGAAATCACGTTGTGAATCTCCGGGGTTGGACAAAGACTCAGACATGATCCTGGCGTATGATCCCTGAATCTCAAAACCTCCGGACAGGGGTTGTTCCTTGTATACAACTAACGTACTTTACAATAAATATCAACTTTTCTGATAACACTTTATCATTAAAAAAAAACAATTCCTTTATTGCCAACTTGCTTTACATTGCTTTACAATCTCTTGGGGGGGTTACTACAAAGTGAACTGGTGTTCACCATCGCTTATCAAGGCTTTGGACCCTGAAAATAGCCCATCTTTCGCGGTTTCACTCATCTTCCAAGCACCAACTCATGGCGGCGTCATGTTTTTATGGGGGAGGCGACTGTTTTCTAAATCCACCGAATCAGAAAGCTTCAGCGTCACCGAGAATTCTCCATCATTCGAGGTGTGAATCAAAGGGATTGACGGGATTGTCACATACCATACACCAACATCACTCTGGGAGGCATGGCAGGTAACAACATCATGTCATAATGTGGTTAAAACAATGCCATAAACTACTCATGACTGGGAATGGTAACCATACCACCTATATTTATGGTGATTGGCTTGGCATTTTACATCTTGGACCTACTGTTTGGATCTATAGATATGACTCGACAAGGCTCTGCCAGACTGACCTGAACAAGTCCCATGAAAACACCAGCCCATTCACCCAAGCGGCTACGAGTCAAAACTATTCAAACCTCTGATGCAGAAAAGAAACCCCAAAATGGCTACCATCTGGTTATGACTAACAGTTCGCCATGGAAAATCACCATGTTTTATAGCTAAACCATCTATTTCTATGGGCCATCTATACCATGGCGAACTGTGAATGTCATAACCAGAGGCTAACCTATGGATGTTCATCCCCCCATTCATCCAGTCAATTGATTCGGTAAAAATGACCTCCCAAGAACAGAGATTTACCCGGCCTGGGAAACGTTAACAAAAAACGCACTGGAAAATCATCATCTGGTTGGTGGTTTCAACCCCTCTGAAAAATATTAGTCAGTTGGGATTATTATTCCCAATATACGGAAAAACAAAAAATGTTCCAAACCACCAAACAGTCATGTTCTAGCTGGATAAATCATGATAAATCAACGAACTTTCTATGGGCCTATGGCTTCCATGAACTTCCATGGCTTCCAGTTCGCATGTAACAGTCATTACCAGAGGGTAAGCCCCATGAATAATATCCCATTGAATCACTATAAAATCCCATTGAATCACTATAAAATCCCATTAAATCACTGTAAAATCCCATTGAATCACTATAAAATCCCATTAAATCACTATAAAATCCCATCAAATCACTATAAAATCCCATTAAATCACTATAAACCATCGATGATTTCCGCGAGCTTCAAATGGTGCTCCCACAAAATATAGAGCTCGACCATCGCCTCATGGGATGCGACGACGGTGAGCCGCCCAGCGGCCCGGCCAGCTGATGTTGACCGCAGTGTGTTTAAATGCGCCATTTTCATAGCCATGGCTAGGATTTTTCTCGGGATGATCTGTGTATTCCTCTGCTATATCAGTTATAACCTTTCTACTATATAACCAATTATTCACTTTTTCCTCTTGAGTAACCCCTGAAAACAAGGGTTTAGTCTTGGATCTATTCAACATTAGGGGTATGAGACCATGTCTAAGTTCCAGGCTCTGTCCACTTCCGTAGCCCTCGTAGCCATCGTAGGTGTCATAGCCATCGTAGTCGTAGGCTCCCTCGTAGCCCGAGTCGTAGGCCCTCGGGTAGCCGTTATAGGTTTCCTTCGAGTAGCCGGCACCTGGGTGTGAAGCCAAGGCCCATGTTGGCTATCGGCGTTATATTTAAGTCTAGTAGCTTATATACATATATATATATAGAAATACTTTAACTACTAAGTCAGTCATAGACTTAAAATATGTTCAACATTACGAGTAAGTGACTATATACCACATGTTTGTCGCCTTGTTTGGGTCTTCTGAACATGTTTCTCTATTGAGAAGAGTCACACGGTTTGGTTTCACGCTGTTCCCAAGGAACATCATCAAATGGTTTTAGACAAAATCATTCATATCAACAATGGATGTTCATAATATTGGATGATAGTGATCTTAATCATATTGGAAAATGGGTTTACATCTATCAAACAATAACAATTATATATTGGATGTTTCAATTCGTATCATCCCACTTTCGGAGATGTCCAGTATTCTCAAATCAAGGATATACACGTGTTTTCTCTGTTGAATGACCAAAAATGTGGAGAAGAACTTGAAACATGTTGAAACCACCTGTCACATCGTGATATCGTCTTATCGTCTGATTACTTCGCATATATGTCCATTGTTGCTGGTTATACTCACACAGGTTTTCAATATTACCAAAAGGCAACCGGTCGACTAGGCTAAGAGACAAAATGCTGGTATTTGTGGGACCTGTTAAAAAGTGTTTGCAAGATGGACATTCATTTCGATTGGCAGGCGTGTGACTCAAGTTCAAAATGTTGCATTCCGCCTGCACGGTGAATCAATTTTGTTCTTCGAGTGCTAACAAAAAACCCTTAGGAATTTCATGATTTTCAAGTTCCCATGCAAACATCCATCGGATCATCCATCCATTTTTCTTCACCTCTCTGTCAGCATCAGTGCCAAGCCGTGCTTTCGGCAAAGCCGCGGCCACAGACTCAAACTTTTGGCGACATGAAATGACGCCATGTCCAGCTGTAAGCCCAAGAGTATCTTTTTTTGTACACTTGCTGTTTTTTCTTGCGCAGCATGGACATTGGTCTCCATTTTTTGAAGTGTTTCCATGTACCAGCTATTTAAGTTGAGTTCCAGCAACCGGAGCTGCGGATGTCAGCCCTGATCATATCAAAATAAAATCCGACCACGACCAAATATACTTCGCGCATGCAACCACCGAGAGCGCGTCAGAAACGTTTCAACAACGGCAACAAGTTCCGTGGGCCCTGTGTTATACTCACCAAGAACGTTATCACACCACCCCCACCCCCTAAACCCCCAGCAACATGTTAACTACGTAACGCATCTTGCAGGAACCTTAAGACATCCAACCCCTAGATTCAATTCTTGAACCCTCATTTTCGCAACCTGCATCTTTCAAATTTGCAACCCTTCCAAGGGATAGTGAATGGCACATCTCAAAACAAGCACCCCTTCCAAGGGCGGCGTGTCAGCCGCATGCCTAAAACTACCAACCAGCTGCCAGTGGTGGATAGTTTTTTGGGATGATTCCTGGAAATGTTCCAGCAAGAAATTTCGGTGACTTTGACCAGTCACTCCACCCAGTATGTTGGTAAACCCAATAATAAATCATCCAAAACTTTGCCAGAAATGAGTGGTATAAACCATCTTCAAATGGAAGGTTACGGCATTGGGCTTACCACAATAGTTGTATCACCCATTCTTGTTGGAAAAACCAAACATTGGGAGCGCCCCAATCAGCCCGGCTGTTACTTGCGAGGCACCCTCCCATTCGTCGTAGCAGTTGTTCTGATCTTCCCCTCCTTGGTCAATCTTGGTCAAGACTGCCATGAGATAAAAATGCCTGGTTTAAGCAATAAAAATCACTGACTATGTTTTTTTCCTACAGTAAAAATCACAAAAAAATGTTCGGCTTTTTTATGGGATAGTTACCCCGTATACTAGCATTTACTAACCATTATTCCAGTGACGTCGCAGTACCTCGTTTTTTTGGTGTTAGACATCATGGTGATCCAATGACCATGCGAGTCATGGGTTCCTGAATGGCTATGACCATCCCGGCCATGGATTTGTCTAACTATCGACCATGGATGACCACGGCACACCTGGGAAATAGCCAAAAAGTGGGTATAAACATCAGTTACCCTCTGGTTATGACTAACATAGCCATGGTATAGCTGGTCCATAGAAATAGATGGTTTGTCTATTAAAAATGGTGATTTTCAATGACTATTTCAGATTGGTAAATCATGGCAATCCCTGCTGATCATTCCGTAAAGTTTCCCTAGTGAGGTGACTGGATTGCTGAAAGAACAATTCACCAAGCTATGAGGTGAGTTGAGGCTGGTGACCTTTATACCCTCTGGTAAACAGCCACATAACTACGGTAACTACATTTCAATATACGGACTTTTGAATATACGAACTGGTATTTCATACTACCTCCGAGGCCTCGGGGTCTGGCCCGCCCTCATATTTATTCATGTCGAAAAACCGCATGGAAAATGACCATGCTATCTAGCTGGGTAAATCAAGTATTTCTATGGGCCATGGCTTCAATAGCTTTTTGTATGACCAGGCCGGGTATAACTTTATTGTGGTCCCATGCATTCCGATGAGTAAACCGGTGGAAGATGATGGAACATGGCGTAGCTGGTCGTAGCTGCACCCAACAAAACCTAGGGGAAACATACCCATGTTCGAAAATTGCACGTAATGTTCATATATGGATTTGTCCTAAAATTGCGGATATCCCAAAATCCAATGGCTGTCATGCTTACTGTACATGGGGATATCTGAGGATATATATATATATATTGGCATATACAGTAATATGGCATGTAATATGGGAGAATATAGGATAAACTCAAAACCAGTGGCTATGCTCAAAATTCAGCTGTCAGCTTCCCATATCAAAACTCTAGGACCCTTATTTCCGCTAGTGCCGCCCCTAACGACGTGCGGAAGATACTGGGGGTGTGGTACCCCATGTTTGACCCTTTTGCGTTTTTTCACGTGTCCAGTCTGTCATGTCAAACCATTGAATCATCACGGATTACGATCCATGGAAAATCGATCCATATAGATCCTGTAGACAGCAGCCGTTTGATGATGAAAATCATTTTTTCAGCATAAACAAACTCACCATCTTTAGAGATTTCAAGGCTTGGATCTTTTCATGGCAAATGGGATTACTCATCCATTGAGTCTTGCTACGATCTGATTCCTGTACCGCGTTTTAAGGGAGGTTCTATATAATCCATCTTGCTTAACTTCCGATTGGGGAAATGATCAGGAGAGTCGGAAAGGTTCCAACCCATTTTTGGAAACAAACCCAAGGTTTTTCATCGTGTCAAAAGGTCGTGTTTCCAAAGCATCCCCCTAGTGCTGAATACGCCTTGGAAATCCCCAACTATGTCCCCTTTTTATAACTACATGCTGTGCGTTATGCATCCATTAATATAATAACACATATGTATATACAGTATATATCTGGGTAAATTATAATATTTCACTAACCTGAATTAAGGCCATTTGGGGATGATTTCCCTTACTAACCATGATTTCCAGTGAGGTCGTAGTGAGGTCGTTATAATTTACCCAGATATATACCATATTTTGCATTCTGCCGCAGCGGACTCTCTACTGTGTACATTCAATAAAGAAATATTAAAAAAAAATATTGGTGTTCTGATTGCCATTATGGTCAAATATATAGATATAGTGAGGTTGTTGTAATTTACCCATCTGTATATACTGCATTAATACATATGTATATATATATATACATTACATATACGTTACTTTCCTTACTATTTAATTTATCATCATCATCATCATCATCACCACCACCACCACTACTATTATTATCTTTTGGCAAAGAAAAGGCTTTATTCTCATGTGTTCTACCTTTCCACCTGTCCCAGCGTCCATACCACCCTTCGTAGCTGGAGCGTTGCGCCGTCCGATGCACTGGCAGCGGCGCCGGCGCCCGGCGGCCGCCCGTGGCGCCCGTCTTTTGCGCCTCCCGCGCCTCGCGCGTCTCCCGCGCCCGCGCCACACGGGGCGGCTCCACATAGCGGCGATTTTCCTGACGCCTCGCGAAGCTTGCATCATTGGGAATAATCACTAACAGTTAATGATAATGGTTAATGATAATGGTTAATGATAACAGATAATGATAATGGTTAATGATAACAGTTAATGATAATGGTTAATGATAACAGTGCATGATAATGGTTAATGATAACAGTTAATGATAATGATTAATGATAGTTATTGATAGTGACCAATAGTTAATAGTTCTTGATAATTGAATGGAATAATGGTTAATTATGGGATAATGATTATGGAATCAGAGGTCACCAGAAGCAGAAAATTGCTATAATGGTATAACTATGCCAACTATGATGGTATTAACTAATAACAATCATGATAGTACTAATAATAATAACTAATGATAACAATACACATCTATAAACATCATCATAAACCACTCAAGTAAAATCACTCATCCAATGGATCTATAAATGGGCGCTTATAAAGCCAAACCATATGGTATAAGTGGAGGATTATAGCTGGGAAAATCATCTGTGGAATCCGGGGAAGGAAAGCCAATTGGCCAATTGGGCAGTTGGGTGTGTCTAGAAATTGGATATACCGTGATTATACCCCAAAATGGCAATTTTAGAGCGAAACTGATTTTCTAAACTCAAAGCCAATTGGATCATGAGGAAAGGGGAAATTCGCAAGAAACCCATGTTGTTTTCTAAAAATAAAGGAGGTCTAGGTGTGGTACTGGCACTTTCTTGGGTGCACCGAAAAGGCATCGTAAGTGGGAGATGATGTCTAAGCCACTTTAATCTATGGAATGCATAACGAAAACTATGGAATACGATGGTTTGGTACTCATTGGTACCATTAAATATATACTGGTTGTTGGTTTCAACCTACCCCTCTGAAAAATGATGGAGTGAAAGTCAGTTGGGATGATGACATTCCTACCTGAAACACGCCACGTCTTTATGAAATATCGCCAGAAATAAAATCGTGTCTAATCCAACAATCACTCAGTGGCACGTAGATCCAACTATTGTATGGGTATGCTCTAGATATAATATTCCAGGGATGAATTGGAGTCAGGTATAGAGATTTACCTGGGCTAAAGGAATTAAACAGCAATAAATGGATGGCTTATAATTGTAACAATGGTTGGGTGGGATCATGACGGATTATCTGTGTTTAGATTTAGAGTGGTTGTAGATGGTTGTGGATGCTTCAATGATTCTATTGGCAATTCAAGTGCCGAAATCAGAGGTAAGCGAGGTAAGGTCCCGGAAGAATCTGGCTTGAAACTGGCAGCCTACACCTACTGCGGGCGCTGCCACTCAACCTGTGCTACCATAGGCAAAAAATGAAACCCTTTTAAAAACCCAGGGTAGCTCAGCACTACAGTATAAACTTCCCAAGAATGGGGTATGGCTCGCAAATATACTCATGTCAAATGTACCGTACTGACTGTAGCATTCTGGCACTACAAATTGATTTCCACCCATCTCTTGGGCACTGGGATGTGGGATGTGGTGGGAATAGCTATCAACACGTCTACCCGTAGAGTCTACCCACAACATGCCTTTTATCTCCAACAATATAAGGTGATTTTCCATCCGAGCATCTACTGAAGCTTTATTCAGTATTCAGGATGAATATACATTCTAGGAATATATATTTCACCTATTGTATACATGTGTATATATATATACATAATCATACTTCCATTGATCATGGGGCTGAAAAAACATCCAAATTTGGTTGTGATTAATGGAGACACTCCCGAGCTTTGGGGTACCATCGAGTGTTCCCTGCGAGACTGAGGGACCGCACGCAGGAAGGGCCTTTTGCTTCTCTTCTTGGTGATCAAATGCCTCAAAGCTGGAAAAAAGCTGGAAAAATGGAAATGGAAGGCCATGAAAACCTGGAGAAATTATAAATTAGACGAATGTCTGGTTTAAACCAAAGCTCTTTGTAGCTCTTTGGCTCTCAACTGAATAAGTTCAATAGGAAATATGGATACCCCTTGCTCCAAACACCCAAAATGGGTGCGAAGCAACTATTGAGATTTCGAAGCAACATTGATAATCCAGATAATACTTAGTATACCCTCTAGAAAATATTCACGCCTTAGTTTACCATACATTTCATACCCATTCAATGAATTCTCGGTGAAAATGCAGAGCTGCTCATGACAAATGGCTCAGGATAACCGTCACATCCCTTCCCCCAGCGCTGTAAACAATCCCTCCAAGAAGCCATGGTCAAAACTAGGGGAAAAAACAAACACTTATTTGGGACCATACAATGGGGATGTCTTTTTCTAGTTGGGATGGTCGAGTAACTCCTAGTTACACGAGGTTGTAACCCATGAACACCCACCAGCTATGAACTTCAGGATCCATCCCAGGTCATTGTGGATCCTAATCAAGGTAGATGGTCACCATTTCCATGGCTCTCAAAATCACCCCTTTTTGTTCACAGCCAACATATGGAAGTTCACCCAAAAAAAACATGAGCAGTGTTCAAAATCCCTCTGTCATTCCATTATACTGGTTGGTTGATAGTGATTTCCCTATTGGATTATTAGAATCCCCAATATATATATATAGGGTGGTATAATCACCGAACTAATCATCAACCAACAGGGGTTTAGCAGCCACTCCTCCCATGGTATTTCATAGGTTTTGAATCGCAAATGGCATTTCACATTGGAATGAGCACCACTGACCATTTGACGTCCATGGGAGTTTCGGTCCGCAACTGTTAAATACTCTAGCCGCTATGCGATCGAGGTATACATATGATCTACCCAACTTCGGATAGTTTCATATTGAGGTACAACTAGATTGCTATAGCTGCTATGCTTCAACAATACCTTTGAGCCAAGAAAACACTCTAGCTTTCCAACTGGCTGATGCAGGGAACTGAATATCGAATCTCATCAAAAAAAACAGTGCACGGAGGTGTAACTCTTCACCATCAAAGTCCAGAAAAAATCCACAAACCAAGCTCACAAATGAAAAAGCTGGGGGAGGTACCCGGCCTGGTAAACGTTAACAAAAAACGATGGAAAATCACCATGCTTTTGATGGGTAAATCAACTATTTCGACTGGGCCATGTTCAATAGCTATGTAACAAATTACCAGAGGGTAACATGCCATTCCAAACTGATGGCAAGGGAACCGCCAATCTCATTTCAGCTTCACATCGCAGTTCTTCTTGCATCCCGACTTGGATGTGTATCCCACGAATCGGATCCGTGGTTTATAATCCATAATCATAACCTACAAAATCCCAACAAGTGGAGGTTTCCTGAGTCATAGGGGTACCCCTAGTTATCATCCATTTTAGATTGGGATTTTCCATGAAATAAACTCTAAAACCATGCATTTTGGTCATAAACCATCCAGCTATTGGGATACCCACCATCTAACGGAAACCACCATCTAACTGTGGGCTTTCTTGCCATCTAAACGAAACGTGGGGCAAAAAGGGGCCCGCGGGGGTGTCTGCGCGGCGCCTGCACCTGAATTGGATAGCCAGGATAGCCAACCATCTGGCGGAGCTGGGTGATCCCAAACCGGGATTCCATGGGAAGTGATGGGGAATTCGGGCAATTTCATGGGAACAACAGGAGAATTCAATGGACATAAAAATGGGATTTTTTTCTGGGATTTAGTGTGGGAAGACATAAGAATCAATGGGATTGAATGGGAAGAACATGGTGTTTTTTGTTCCATAAAAAATGGTGGCATCATGGAGAATTCCATGGGAATTCCATGGGAACTACATGCAGATTTTACCATGAAAATCTTGGGATGTCAAGTTGGGGACTTAGACCTCATCCAACTTATGGAGAGAAATCACCTGAGGCAATCCTGGCCGGCTGGAAAACTCCCTATAAATGGAGGTGTATAATAGCTGGGATATGTATATATATATACATACATACATACAAATTATATCATATATATATATTAGATATATTAGATATGTATATTATATATAATATTATATAATATATGTATATAATATTATATTATATATATATATATATTTATTATTATATTATATATTGTATATATATATATAAATGGGGTGATTGTCCATTGCCATGTTTGATTACCAAAGGGTAATCAATAGCAAAATGCTACCGTAATCATCCAACTCTTTTCAGCTCTGGGATCCATAAATTCCAACCCATGCGACTGGATGATCATGGATGCTGGTTGGAGCTTCCTAACCTGAAGTACTTGTGTGTTCTCTGAGTGGGCCCAAAGGCTCACAAGTGGGCCACCAAAACCAAATTTTGCAACCCCAAAAAGAATCAAGAGTTGAAAACATAGGGAAACATAGGGAAATGATAGAGTATCATCCACAACCTCCCTGCAAAACGATTTTTTTCTTCTGAGACCAGCTCCATCCATGGCCATCCCCATTCCACTAAAAATCTCAAACCCTTGATATCTTGCAAAATAACATGGTCGTCCAGATCTATTTCTTGGTGTTTCAAATTCTATTGATATGTGGAGATATATATAAGTGGAATGTATATAGCTGAAGATGTTGGTATATTGAAATGTTGATTTCCTCTCTTTTGATTGAACTCCCATGGTTGCTCATGAAGCTCTCATGTTTGTCGATTCATTTCTCATTTTTGTTGATTAAATTCCCATGTCTGTCGGTCGAAATCCAATGTCTGCTGGGAAATCAGATTCCACCAACAAATGTCCAAGAAATCATCCGCAGGTTGTGTGAAAATATGGCGAATCAATCGTCATTTTCCCCATGATAACTGCTGTAAAATTGAGGTCAGTTGCTCATGTTTGAACAGACCCCCAAATTCCTCCAAAAGTCTCTCGAATCATCCCATATCAACATCCATATCAGATGCATCAGAAATCCAATAAATCTAGGTCAAAATAATTCACCGCAAATAAGGTACACACTTACCTCGTACATTCACCATCATTCTAGCGACGTCGCAGTGAGGTCGTTTTTCATCTATCCAGAAAAATCCACCAAAACAATATAACAATCAGCACTTCATATAAACGTGTAAAATTATCATACGTATAGATGTTTATTCCCCCTAATATGGTAGTAATAGGTTCTGCATCCCCGTGGATAAAATTCCGCCAAAAAACGCACTTCACCCGGTCGAAGTGAGCGAACGTTGACGAAGAAAATCCATGAAAATCCCATCGGCACCTCTTCTTGGTTCAGCGAAGCGACGGCGCGAGACGCCTGTCATCGGGGGCGAAGCGTTTTTGGGCGAAAAAAAAAAGGTGCGTCTGAGAAGAAAGGGATGGGCTTGGGATGGGATTCTCCAAGATATCAATGGCCATTTCAGGATCCTAGATTGGAGGTACCTACCATATATAAGGCCTATGTAAGGGACTATCCCAGCAAAATATGGCCTTATATGGTACAGTACCTCCATTTTAGGATCCTGGAATTCCCATTGAAGATAAGTGTAGATACTTGGGTATCAAAAAAACAAGATAGTCTTAAAAAATGATTTTGGATCAATTAAAGATGAATTGAGATTATTTAAGATAAGTGTTAAAAATGCTTAACACTTACAAACCCCAGCCCCCGGAAAAAATAAAGTAAAGTCCCAAAAAAGTGGACCCAGTATATGAACAAAGGCAATACATTCCAACACGGTTTCTGGGAGCATGTTTAAACTCGTGGGGCAGAAGGAGATTACAAGAAATATTTTATAGATTAATTTAGATGATTCAACATCATTTCGGCGGAAGATGATAGGGAAAACCCAATCTTTGGATGGTCATTTTACATGTAAAACAGAACGAGATGTTCGATCGGGATGAACTTAAACAGAGCCTCAAAACGCTTCGGTTTGCCAAAATCGTGGCCAATCTTAGATACGCAAAAAAAAAAAATCTGAGCTGATTAGTTGGTATATAATCCCATACCAAAAGACTAAAGAATTAGTTTCTACCCATCTAAGATTGACCTACGGTAAACCAACATAACTATGGTAAATCCTCATTTTATAGCTGGCTAATTCAACTATTTCATACTATTTTTATGGCCATTTTCAACAGCAAACTGTCTTTACGTTTACCAGAGGGCCCTCCAGTAAACTAACAGTTTGCGAACTGGAAAATCACCATCTAGCTAGCAGCTAAATCAACTGTAAATATGATAAATGTGACATGTTCAATAGCTATCTAACAAATTACCAGAGGCTATTTCCCCATAACATCCATAGATAAAATTCCTATTGAACATTGTACCACCACTGTACCACCATTATACCGTATTCTTATTGTACCATACAGAGGTTTCCTGAGTCATAGGGGTACCCCTAGTTATCATCCATTTTCGATTCGGGATTTTCCCTGAAATAAACCAGCCAGCTATTGGCTTACCCCTAGTTATCATCCATTTATAGATGGATTTTCCCTGAAATAAATCGACATAAACCAACCAGCGAGCTTGGGGTAGCCTCATGACTATGGAACCCCCCCACCGTAAACCAATGGATGGACCGTCCGTTTACGCACCGCACCGCGCACCGCTGCACCATGCTGCACCTGTTTGGTGCTGCCAAAAGTGACATAGCCCATCCCCTGCGAAGTGCCATCCTGAGACCATCATCAAATCGTGGGGTAAAAAATGATTGGTTTAACCATCAATAGCTATTGAAGAGGTGAGAAAAAATGGCCATAGAACTAGTTGATTTATTGATTTAACCATGAAAAATGGTGAAAAATATCCAGATGATAATAGTATACTGGTATATTGTATATTAAAACTGGATATTATGGGATATCCAAAAATGGTTGGTTTATTTCATGGAAAATCCATCTATAAATGGATGATTTGGGGGTACCCCCATGATTTACTGGTTGGTGGTTACCTACCCATCTGAAAAATATGAGTTCATCAGTTGGGATGATGACATTGCCAATGTATGGATAAATAAAATTCATGTTCCAAACCACCAACCAGTATACTATAGGTATACTCTTGGCATCTCTTGTCTATTATGCTACTTATGGGTATTATACTATTGTCTATTATACTACTTATGGGTATTATACTATTGTATCTTATACTACTTTGCTTTTCTAGGTTTCCCGTTACCTATGGGTTAGTTCATAATGCCAAATATCCCAATATAATTCAGTATACAGTATAAGCCCCTGGAAGTCCAATGTTGATGTTTACCTACGCATTTCATTAATGTTGAGTTTACCTACGCATTTGTGTAATGTCGTTGTTTACTCATCAATGTCGATATTTACCCTTGAGACATGTGGTGCGGCAAATTTCTCGAACTTTTGTACTGCTGCCGGATCTTTATCTTGGACATGCTTCACTAGCCAAACTCATGCGATATCACTTTGAATCACATGTGACACAGATTTTCCCACTGGATTTTGTGTTGTTTTCACTAAACAGTCAATACATATATGCTTGCATGAGAGCGGGTGTTTTGCCCTAGCTCCCCCGAAAATCTTGGAAACAAAAGACACCATGGGAGAGGTGCTTTAACAAAGGCCAGCCAAGGAACTTGGATTTGGTTGGCATCCGGATGATCAGACTGGTTAAACTTACAAGAAAAAAAACAACAAAAATTCTAGGGCTGGCATATATGTACATATGTACATATATATATATACTGTATATATGTAACATATCTATACACATTATGTATACCATATAGTAATATAGTATAACTGGGTATTTATATATATACATGGGGTGGCTCTTTTCCTCCACACATCACAAAAATTTCACGGTGAGTAAATCACCGCCAATTTGGCCACACGGATTTCCCAAAAAAGGCACATTTCCGTTGAAGCGTTTTAGGTCCCATGTTTTGTCAACTCTGACAGTAAAAAAATGCTTAAATACTTGCAAAAAAGGGGTTCCTTGATTTGTTTTCCGGATATTCTGAATACTTTTTTGGGATCTTGCAGGTTTCAAATTCAGTTCCAAGGCTTCTACACGTTGGAAAATTGGAATGCTGAATATATCTGAATATATGAATGATGGTTTTGCACTTCGAAGGTCCATGAATATTTCTTCACAGGGGCCCAGGGGTTAAACGTGTTACCCTCTGGTAAACTAACATAACTATGGAAAATCACCATGTTTCATGGGAAAATCCACTATTTCTATGGTCATGTTCAATAGCTACG